ATTTTTCTAGTAGTTCCTTGTCTCATTTTCATGAAATTTTCTGATGAAGTTTTCTGAACGTACTCGTCATGGGACGCTGGGCCCCGTTCCCAGTTTGTGCCAACTTGTGAAGATATGGTTGTATCTATGGGATGCTGGACCCGGTTTCCAGCAGGTGCTGCTCCCCACCAATAGTACAGGGCATTCCTCACCATCCAGATTGTCCATTTATCGCCTCTCGGATCGCCTCAAAAAGGTCGCGTTCTGAGGGAGACAAATCACAGCTAACGGAACCCAACAAGATGCTTTTATTTTGAGTAAGGACAACTTTAAGACATCAACAAAAAACGGCCTATTTGTCCATCGTTCTTGAATCCTACCAGGCTTGCATGTAACAATCAAATTCATAATTGGAGCCTTGGGCACTGGGCCCATTGAAAAAAAAAAAAAAAAAAAAAGCAAAAAAATAAATGAAATTGATCAAAAAAAAAGAAAAAAAAAGAAAAGAAAACCGACCTGGTAAAAGTTCTCAACCTCTTGATTCAATCAAAGAAGAATGGACATTTCAACTTGATGGCTGGGAGGGATATGATTAATTATGAAACAAGCAGTGCACAACCTGAATTGGAAGGACCTGGTGGGAAGAGACTACCGGAGGATCCTCATTCAGACATACGATATAAAAGAGATGTTTTCTAAAATACCTCACAATGAAGTAAGGGTCTTATTAGACACTCCTAAAAGTGCCTGTTTTTAGGATTGCGTCTTGGTTGCACGCAATCCTAAGTCCAATTTTGAGATCGAAAATGTGAAAACGGCGCTAGGACGAGTCCTAAAGGATTTAGGATTCCCCAAGCAAAATCGTCCTAAATTTTCCAGTAGCCCCCTACCTACTGAAAAATTTAGGATTCCTGTGTTTCACGGACTTGTTGTGTCATGTGCATGGCACCATCGACATGGAGTTGCTGGTGCAGAAGCGGTCCGTCGGGTCAGTGGTCGGATATCGGAGGTTTTCTGCGGGTCGACGAGGGCAACGGCCACGAACGGTAGCCGTTGGTGGGGATTGGACGAACATTGGCAGGAATGTACGGACATTGGCGACGCGGCTGTGTATACGCATATGAAAACCGGCCGAGGGAGACCTTTTAGGAAATTAGGACGAATCCTAAAAGATGATTTTTAGGATTGCGTGTAACGACGCCGCACGAAATCCTAAAAATCCTTTAGGACTCGTCCTTAAAATTTTAGGATTCTTTTAGGAGTGTCTAACGAGACCCTAAGAAGAGCTGTGGATTGGATTTTTTCTGAAATAAGGGTCTCGTTAGACACTCCTAAAAGTGCCTGTTTTTAGGATTGCGTCTTGGTTGCACGCAATCCTAAATCCAATTTCGAGATCGAAAATGTGAAAAGGGTGTTAGGACAAGTCCTAAAGGATTTAGGATTCCCCAGGCAAAATCGTCCTAAATTTTCCAGTAGCCCCCGACCTACTGAAAAAATTAGGATTCCCGCATTTCACGGACTCGTTGCGTCGCACCCATGGCACTGTCGACATGGAGTTGCTGGTGCAGAAGCGGTCCGTCGGGTAAGTGGTCGGATATCGGAGGTTTTCTGCGGGTCGACGTGGGCAACGGCCACGAATGGTAGCCGTTGGCGGGGGTGGAGCACGGGGGGCCGAGCAGGGGCGGGCAGACGTCCCTAGTGGACCGTTGGCTGGGTTGCAGGAAGCGGAGGAGGACGACGACGTGCACAGGATGACATACGGACGCACTTCGGGCAGTGTGTGGGCGCCAACAGTTGATTTTTGAATCGAAGGCGTCCACGTTTGTCATCTTCTCTGGTGGTTGTCGGCGTATGAAGGTCCAGTGACCCTATCCACCAGCATCTGGGATTCTGGGAAGACACTTCTGCAGTAGTCGCATGGACGGGTGCCTTCCGAGGTGAAATTGATGGCAGACGCGCAGAGGAGATTGCCTCTGCTGGTACTCGCTGTCGTCGTCTTACTGATTGTCGTCTTCCTCCACTTGTGTTTGTCGTGCCGACCGTGTAAGCAACGTCGCAAGCGGAGGGCGTCAACGAAACGGGCGGCAGGGGAACATCTGATGGCGAGCATGCAGGCACGCGCAGAACTGGTCGCAGGTCAGGGCGGAAGAGGACCTGCGTCAACGGTGCCGGAACGGCGGTACGACTCGTCCTTGTACAACCATCTAGAGTCGTGGGAGATGCCACTGCCCCCATCAGACGAGGAGACGGAGACGCAGATGATGTCGCTGACGGTGCGAGCACGCGGGTTAGCTAGCAACGAAGGTGGCAAGTTCATCTCCCTCCTGCAGCAAGGCTTGGGAGACGACGACGACGGGGGAGTCGGTTTGAGGTTCGGATTGTCTTTCGACAACGTGAGGGAGGTGACCCGTACGTTCATCATCTACGTCGATCCTTCGCCACGTGGCCTTCAACGTGCTGGAAGTCAGCATACCGAGCAGTCCACACTTCGTGGCGGTGCGTCCATGACTGCAGGTGTTGGGCCGTCACTACCAGCCCGGCAGCATGGATGGACTGCGCCTATGTGACACCTACGGCGTAGGCCACAGGTATTTCCGCCGCTGCCGATAAGGCCCGATCCGCGGCCTGGTTTTTTAATATATTTTTTTTTACTCCAAAAAATACGTTAAAAATATATATATATATCGGGGTGTAGGGCTTGGAAAACCCTACACTCCTATTTTTTTTTTTTTTGGAATCCGACTTTGTTTAGGATTTTAAAAAAATCAAAAACTAAATTCGATTTAAACAAAATTAAAAAATATATATATAAAGGAAAAGCAGGATTTTTTTTTCCATTTTTTATCATGAGGTATATGGTCCCTGAGTTGACCTGTATTTTTTTTAGAAATTAATTTTTGGCTTTTGCAGGGAAATGAGGTGTTTAAAAAAAATGAAGATGAAAAATTTGAAAACAAATAAACAAAAAAAGGGTTTGATTGATTGATTGATTGATTAATTGATTGATTGGTTGATCTGATTTGATTGATTGATTGATTGATTGATCGATTGATTGATTGATTGATTGATTGATTGATTGATTGATTGATTGATTAAGTGTGAGTGTGTGTGTGTGTGTGTGTGTGTGTGTGTGT